CATTAAAAATACGTTTTTTTTATTCTACATTTGATTGAATTGTATTGTTTTTCTTTATTGCATAACTTCAATCTATTATTATATGTACTTATTCATACGTGTTTTAATGAATATCCTTCGAAAAAACGATGATAAATACCATATTGAATACTTCTGCTTTAGTCTATAAGTAAACTTTTAAGAAAAAAAAAAATCTCATAAGAATACACATTACTAATGAATATTCTTGGAACTGTTCTTTTTTGACCACTAGTCAAGATTCTTACCTGAACAAAAAAAAAAAATCCGGATCTATGCTTTCTAGCAAGATCAATGTCGACGAAATTTTGGTTGATAAGAGAAGAAGTATCTCTCCAATGAGATTTTTATGTTCTTGAATTTTTGATTGATGCATTTTTTCTTTCTTTCTTGCATACTTATCTGATTCTTATGATTTGAATGTAGCTTCTACTATACATCAATATGAATATTTTCTTTTTAACTTTTAACAAGAATATTAAAATTAGACTATATGTTTAGTATGACTTTTGACTATTGGATTACACATGAGTCTTAAGACTCAAAGATTTATTTGACGAAAAAAACTTCACATGGAAGTTGTTCGAGATATATCACAAAATTTTATTGAATATATTAGAAGATACAGAAAAAAATGATTCTCTACAAAGCACATTTTGAAATCATTGTTGGATTCAGAACATTTTAATTCATGAGCTTCAAGAAATTTGTTTTTATAATATTCGATTCAAAAATCAGAGGGTGTATATATAAATAAAAACTGAATGAAAAATTGTTCGTTTTTTTTTTTGATAACTATTTAAATAAATCTTTCATGATCGATTGGTTATCCACAATGGAAGTATCATCACCACGTCGTAGTTCATTTAAAAAATCCGGAATTCAACATCAATTCCAGAACTAAAATTGAGTTTTGATTTAAGATTTTTGTTTGATTCAAGTTTGAACTGTTTCAAATTCCAATCTTTGATTGAATAGACAAGAATCTGCTTTCTTTCCTGTCGAAAGATGCTTGATTGAACTTCAAGAAATCTTAAATAGCTTATATAATACTATCTAGGTTCTTATATTCTTCTCATCTATAACTTCAGGCTAGTGTTTTGTTTCATTTCTGTTAAAAGAAGCTTGTTTGAATATCAAGATATTTTAAATATGTTGTAATACATTCCGGGTTTTTATTTTCTTGATCAATAAGACAAGAATATTAGTTTGTTTTTTATATTAAAATTCAAGTAAGAATTTTATTTCTTTCTTTTAGAAAAGAATATCTTTTTATATACATATAAATATAACGAAGAATTTATCAAAATCTCTTATGTGCTTATATTTATTATTCTTTAAACTATATGCATCTTATTAAAATTCCATTTCGAGTATTTAGAAATGCTTTCAATATTTTTACAAGTTCTTCTTTTCATATTTTATTCTTTGTATGTCGAATAATCTATTTAGTCAGAAAAAGAAATGTTCTGTGTTTTTTTTTCTATAGAAAATAAATACTAGTTTTCAAAAGAAAGAATAATACCAATCTCCGGAGAGGGCGTTGTTCTTCCGTCAAATACAAAAGTTAATCATATACGACATATTGATAATTGAATGTTTATACAAAAAACATGTTTTTGTGTATTAACAACAATATATATATATTGAAAAGAAAATATTTTATAAATATTTATAATTGAAAATCTTGTAAATGATTCATTTTTCGTGTATTTAAAGATTATCATATTGACTTTGATATATTAAATGTAATTGTATCAATATATCGAATTAGATAAACAAATGATATGAAGTATGTGAATTTCTAATCGTGTAAAAAAACAAATTGATAAGAGAAAAACATTAACAATCATGATGATTAAATCGAATCAAAATTTCTGTTTTAAAAAGAACAAGCTTCAGCACATCAAAACTTATCAAAAGAACAAGCGTCAATTATTTCGAATGCAAGAAATGAAAGAGCAAACATTTTTAATACAATGATATAGTTTGTTTGAAATAATTTGTCAATAGTGTAAGTATTTTAGTAAAGTAGATCGTGTCAATTCTTTTGAATTCTATGCAAAATGAGCTCGAATGTTCTTGAATAATTGTTTTGAAACTCTTGATTCTTATATCAGTTTGTAGAGAATAATTTTGTTTTTTATTCTATGCGAAAAAAAAATCGGTAATATAATCTATGCAGTAGAGAAGATTATTTCTACTGTAAAACAAATGTACATTTTGTTAAATTACTTTTCCATAACTCATTAAATAAAATTAAGTTTTCTATGTTTTGTAAAATTCATGTATGTTTCAATATAAGAATCTTTTATAATTAAACAAATTTAGAAAATCTAAATAATTATGTTATAAGCAAAATCTTAGCTAGAAAAGCACAAATTTTTTTTTTATCGAGATAAGACTCTAAACTTGTTATTATTCATGACTTTGAATAATGGACGAGGTTACGTAGGACAAATTTAAACCTCTTATAATAATATGTTCATCAAGGAGAGATAAAATCGTTTATTCAAATTTATTTTTTAATTCATCTTCATAATAATCTTAAAGATCATTATTGTCATTGATAAAACATATACATCAAAAGATTTTTTGAACCATATTAAAAAATAAGTAAGATTATAGGATTTATTTTACTTTTATTTTAAGATTAGAAAAAAATATTAAGAAGAAGTTATTCTATTTTATTGATGATTGTTAGATTAAAAAATCTCTTATAAATTATTTTCAATTCTTTTCTATCAATATCAATAATGAAAAAGATTATGATAATGTATTGATCTACACAGTTTTAATAATTGTCTTGCCTTTTCTGCATGTTGGTAATATTTTCATAATAAAAACAATTCAATTCTCACAAAATGATACAGTAGTTGTAAAAAGTCTCGTTACTAGGTAAAAAATGCCTAAACTCTTAATTCTTTAGTCTCAAAGTTTGACTACAAATAGAGCATGTTGAACTCTGATTGCAATGACTAATCAGTCTTCATACGAAGGAGCTAGAAGATCAACATAGATTTTTTTCTTCCGATGAGAATATCTTAACATAGAAAAGAAATTTCATGTCCAATGGTTTTAGTTGGCCTAATTTATGAAATATTCTTTGAGTAATCTCCACATGAGAGTCGATGGAAATCGTCGAAAAGTGACACATATCTTCGGTTAATTTTAATCATTTCCCTTGAAAATTTCACGATCACAGTCATAAATGAAGAAGAGATCCATGCTGAGACCGTCGCAGACAATGGAGGCTTCTCCATGCCTCAAGATCACAGAGAGCTGAAGTATCGTATCTGTATTTGTTAATAAGAAAATGGAAATAATAGTGGAAAACCAGAAAACTACCAAAAAGTCTGTTTTTTTGGTCCTAGAGAAAAAAATTAGTATTTTCATCGTACATTCTTTGTATTAAGGCCTATCGATCTTGGGTTGCTATTCGCGATCAGAGGTTACTGCGCTCTATTTCTAGTCAAAATATTAGGCTAAAGGATTGAAGTTTATGTACTTGTTACTTGATAGCAGGACTTCTGACAACTACTATATATAACCAACCTGTTTCATAATTATCATCTAAATGTTGTTTTATATTATTTGTTGATAAACCATGAAGTGTTAAATGACCAAATTGAATATTAACAAGACGATTAAAACAACCATATGATAATATAGCACTTGAGGAAATAGATATTGATCATGTACTAGAGAAAATTTCTATGATAAATTTTCGAAGAAAATAGTAAGTGTAAATTTTAAATCATAGTTTTACGACTCCCCATTACAGACTTTAGCAACCGAATTTAAAGGTACTGAACGACGTTAATAAAAAGGCTTCGAGGGTTCGTTAATATTCCTTGAAATTTAAATAACTGCAACACATTTTTCTATATTCTAACTAAGGCAGTTTCTAACTTTACCTTGATAAACGATTACATGATAGATATCAAGGATAATGATTTGATTGCCCAAAACTGTCATATGACCAAGACAAAAGTATGAACTGATTAAATTCTAACTTTCGGAAATAATCAATATCAGCATTTCTGAGTTCATCAAGATAGAAAATCAATCATTAAGACGTGCTGTTGATATAATGAAAGTCTACAAGAGACTTATTTATCCATTAACCCTTTCAGTCCCGATTTTTTTTCGAAAAATTGAAGAGGCTTTTTTTAAATTTCTTATTTTATTTTATTTTAATTTCCTTTTTAAAGAAAAGGAGATTGTGGGGGGGGGGGGGAAATATGTGAATATAAAAAATATTAATGTGATATATCATGTTGAAGGTATTGTTAACGTCTATTGAAGTGTGAAATCAGTTTAATTGCATACATTAATGTTGAAAAGAAAAATATGGGTGCTCCATAAGGAGCCGCCGGGATTGAAAGGATTAAATCAATGATTTGACTCATAATAATAAATTGTGAAAATGAAATAAGAAAAGAAGAAAATGAATATCAAGCGAATAGTAACAAAATAAATAAAAAGGAAACAAAATTTCTATTCGAAAAGGTAGAAATAAAAAAGACAGCGTTTTGCTAACAATCGATTATCGTTAGAAGAGAACTATCGTCTTTTAGAGATTTTACATTGTGTATATTTTGTATTACTACAATAAATCTAACGAAGACATTCGTATTCTACGTTTCAGCGTAGAATGGGTGGCGTTAACAAGTTTTTTCATAATTTTTCAATGTCAAGTAACATCAATACAATTCATAATTGTCTTATTTCATAAACAAGTAGATATTAATAAGCAAATATTTATTCTTCTATCAGAAAATAGTTATTTGATAAATTTATCAAATTTACAAAAAAAAGTAAAATATTTTTGATTCTATTCTTTATCCTGAATTTTGATCTAACAATGGTTTTGTTGATTGTTGATATTTTGAACGTTGTGCTGGTCATTTTCTAATTTCTTCTTTCAATGATACACGTATATCAGGAATATATTCATACAAATAATAATTCCATTCTCTTCATGCAACATAAGGCCAATCTTTTCCACAATTATCATTTAAATGTTGTTTCATATCATTTGTTGATAAAATACGAAGTGTTAAATGACCAAATTGAACATCAACAAAACGATCAAAACAACCATATGATAATAGCATCGGAGGCCAATAAATACGTGCTTCATTACTTGAATATTTATAATTTGAACCTCTGTCATTTAATACAACTATATCAACAAATGAAAATGAATATTGATTATATGCATGAGATTTACTTAAACTTTTATGATAAAGACGATATATCTTACAAATAATGCTTTACTCAAAATAAAATTTCGTCAAGCAAATATATCTGATAAACCAACAAGTTTTTGTTCATTTTCACTCAACATAGCTGTATTAGCATCATCATCCTATGGCACGAGACCACCATGTCGTTCAGCACCTAAATCGGTACCATCAAATATTGTATATGATGTATTATTTTGCATTAGTATATCATGTAGATATTCTAATGTATCATAAATTATATCAACAAGATCTCTGATATTTATAGAATGAGATCTATTAATGAATGACATCGTTTCCTAACTTTTCTTCTTGAAGAGAACGAATGACGCAAATAAAACATTTCTTTTTTTGTTTATCTATAGTAAATATTAACATTACACATGACTCAGGATTGTATTAAGTAAAGAACGAAGGGCCTCTGTCGTATATTATTTACTGATTGCTCTTTGTAGTCTACCAATCGATAATTAATCTTTTTTCATTAATTGAAGAAACGAATTAGAAACTCAGTTATTATTAGAAAATAAATGACTGAGAATATTCAGAAATCGAATCAATTAATTGTACGTGTTTGTACATTTAATTTACGTCGTGCTGATCTTGATATTGGTACACCAAATGATTGGAAAAAACGACGACCGATTGTTAAGAAATGTCTTGAACATATGCAACCAAATATTATTGGAACACAAGAAGGTTATCCAGGACAACTTAAAGATGTTCTTGATGATTTAAATGAGTTAATTACTTTTTTGGTTTTTAATCCATCTTAGTAGAAAATAAATAATGTTATTTTCTTTCATAGATCTTCACAATGTTGGTCATGGGTAGGTGAAGAACTTGAAGATTGGCACACAATTAATGCTATATTCTATCGTCATGATCAATTTTCACTTATTTCAACAAAAACATTTTGGTTTAATGAACATCCATCAATAACTGGTTCTGCTTGGGGTGCAAAACATCCTCGTGGTTGTACATGTGCTCAATTTCAACATTTTATTACAAAACAACCATTTATTATCTATAATGTTCATCTAGATTTTCCATCTCAAGAAGCTCGTCATAACTCAATACCTACTCTTCTATCACAAATCGAAGAAAATCATGATCATATTAATAAAGTTATTGTTACAGGAAATTTTAATAATTGGCCAGAAGAAGTTGAAGGTGAAACACCACCTGATGAACTTACTGTATTAGGAGAACATGCATCAGAAATTGAACAAATGAAAAAAGCTGGTTTTATTGATACATATCAACATAATGCAAAATCAACATTTAATGGTTTTCGAAAAGCTGGTTATGGTCCAAAAATTGATTTTATTTGGATTTCATCAAATAGTGTTTATCGTGTTGAAGGTGAAACGAAAGTAGATGATTATCATGATAAAGATGGATTTTTTCCATCTGATCATTTTCCTGTTTATGCAGATTTAATTTATATTGCATAAATGTTTTCATCTAATCATTGATCTATAATTAAAATATGCAGCAACAAAAAACAAATGCGATAAATAGAGAATACATGTACACTATACAGTCATGTAATCTGTATGCTATTTGATAAGTTTGTTCTTTCGTATTATTATATTTTTAACATATGTCGTGTTTTATAAAATCAAATGTTATGAATAAACTTTTGTAAAAATAAATTAAATCGATAGAGAAAGTATCATTGCTTTGATAATTTTTGTTTTTTTTTTCGTATCAACAAAAATAATTCCTATTTATATAATCAGTAATCAAACAAAAAGAAAAATACTTGTTTAAACTTTCAAGAATTATTTTATTTCGACTATGAAAAGAAGAATTTTCGATTTACTCTACTGAAAAAAAAAACAGAACAATGATGAAACAGTAATTTTCACAAAGAAAAAAGAATTATAGTTGAGATTTGTTCATTTTGTTGAAAATTATTTCTTCAAGAACATTTTCACTACTCAAATGTTACTATTCGTAGCACAAACCGGTGAAAGATTTTTGACATTTCTATAAAAGTTTCGATGCACTGCATAAACCTATCAATCGGATAGAATAAGAGCCAAATGTTTGAGTCTATTCTAACCTACGATACTTGAATATAGGGTAGACTTCAGTCTATGGAAGCTTTGTGGTCCCACCACCTATAAATCGATTCGGTAACCTATCCGACTCCAATGACCTCTATCATGTACTACTTTGTAATTACTTTGTTTGAATGGCCAATATAAAATTGTTATTAATCTACTATGACTCTTAAGCATAAAAATATTGACGTAGTGTATTTTGCAAGAAAAAAAAATGGACACTGTTACACAAGGAATAACTACAACGATTATACGTGTTTGCACATTCAATTTACGTCATGGTCCTATTGATCGTGGTACACAAAATGCATGGGAAAAACGAAGACCAATTGTAAAAGATTGTCTTAAAAACATGCAACCAACAATTATCGGAACACAAGAAGGTTATCCACCACAACTTAATGATATTCTTGATGATTTAAATGAGTAAATTATTTTAAAAATTTATCTCATTAGAAAAATAAATTATGTTATTTTTGTTCGTAGGTCTACAAAATGTTGGTCATGGATAGGTGAAGAACTTGATGAGTGGTATATAACTAATGCTATATTCTATCGTCATGATCAATTTTCACTTATTTCAACAAAAACATTTTGGTTTAATGAACATCCATCAACAATTGGTTCGGCTTGGAATACAAAATATCCTCGTGGTTGTACATGTGCTCAATTTCAACATATTATTACAAAACAACCATTTATTATCTATAATGTTCATCTTGATTTTCCATCTCAAAAATCACGTCATCATTCTATACCTATTCTATTATCACAAATCAAAGAAAATGGTGATCATATTGATAAAGTTATTGTTATTGGAGATTTTAATAATTGGCCAGAACAAGTTGATGGTGAAACACCTGTTGATAAACTTATTCTTTTAGGACAACAAGCATCAGAAATTGAACAAATGAAAAAAGCTGGTTTTGTTGATACATATCAACATGGAGAAACACCAACATTTAATGGTTTTCGATTGGCTGGTTATGGTCCGAAAATTGATTTTATTTGGATTTCATTAAATAGTGTTTATCGTGTTGAAGGTGAAACAAAAGTAGATGATTATCATGATAAAGATGGATTTTTTCCATCTGATCATTTTCCTGTATATACTGATCTGATATATACTGAATAGTTATTTTATTTGAATT